CTGTTAACTTTTAATAAATTTACTTGAAGCGGAAGGGGGGTCTAAAAACTCTTAAACATTGTCTACATAGTGCATGATCATCTCAAAAACATATCTAGGTTTGTAAAATTATTCCGTCAACATAAAATTTGATAATAAACCAGAGGGCCCAAAATGCTGTAGTCTGAGCAAAGCATAAGAGGATTTCCAAACGTTTAACGCGATTAAAAAACCATTGCATGATGATGATGATGATGGTCCCACCTCTTACCATAACAATGGTTTCAACTGGGCGATTTATCTTTAAGATAATTAAATATGACAATTTAACCAGGTTAGCAAACAAAATCGAACTGGTTTCAGTTTCAGATATAAATTCCCTCTAGAGTTTACAGTTGCTTCACAGCGATATAAATGTGGAAAAGCTCAGGCGTCCACAGGCGCATCTTAGCTCGCCTTTTTGTCTACCTAAAATATGTATAAGTATTTTAAGCAGTCAAGAGTTAATGAACAATCAGCAAAGCATCATATTACACTAGCAACCCCGCAACCTGATGCTTTCATAATTTTCAACAATGTCAGGAATGCTCATGAACCCCGACATTTGCCAGAAAACTTACTACTAAATCAAGGTGTCTTCCAAATAAACTTAAAAATTGCATTTTTTAATCAAATTTTAAATTCAGTCCTTTATATCCGTAATACGCGCGCGAGGCTAAAACTTGTGTAGACTACTTTTTTGTTGATTAATCTACTCTTATTAAATCAAATATTAAAAATACATCATCATCATAGTGGCGAACAAAAATAGTTTTTGCAATGCTACAATAATTAATAAAAAGTCATTATGACAGCTATCCATATAAAATAATCCGTTATAGATAACTTCGTCAAGATACATAATTTGTCAATTCATAAAAAAAAAACACTGGATAACTGTTCAAACAACAGATTTAACGTGTGAAATGTAGTGTCTTTTAAATTCTGTAAGTTTTGCTGAACGTTTGATATCTCTAGGCATTGAATTGAAAACATTTATTTCTTTAAAAAATAATGAATTTTGTGAAGCACAAGTCAAGAAATTTGGTGTATTAGAAACCGTGTTTCTAGCATTATATTTATGAAAGTCATTTCCTCTTTCAATTCGATTCACAAATATAAAGGCAGCAAACCTTTAACTACTTTAAAAATGAACACCATAGTCAAATATACAATTCTTTGCTTCGCCGAAAACCATTGTAAGGCGTCTGGCATCAAAGTTGAGGAAGCGAATCTATTACATCTCAAAATCAAACGCATTATTTTATTCTGCAAGCGCTGTAATCTCGATATTTGTGTTTCATTGGCCAGAAATAAAATGGAAGGGCAAAAGTCTAGATGAGGAGAGATGATTGATGGCAATAGTTAAATCGTGTTTCAGTTGACATAGAATTCCATACTTCTCGGCAATTTTCTTGACGACATTGTCAATGTGAGAGTTGAACTTAAGTGTGTCATCAGTAATCTCCCGAACGCGATCAATAGTCTCATCATCAATTACAACAGAGACGTTCTCATTTACTCGATTCCCCGAAATTACCATAAATTTAGTTTTACTTGTATTCAATTTCAACTGCTTATACTTCAACCATCTACTTAGAAACGTAAATCTTCATTCAAGTGTAAAACGGCATCATCTGAATCTTTAGCTGCAATGAATAACACAGTATCATCTGCAAAAAGATTAATATCCCAAAATCATAAAACACGTCGCAAGTGATTAATATTCATAACAAATAACAGGGGCCCTAATACACTTCCCTGGGGCACTCCAAGGTTATTCCCCGACGGGACTGGAAACAGAATCATTAAAAACAGTCCGTTGAGTTCTGTCAGACAAATAGCTATCAAACCATTTATATGCAGTACTCGTAATTCCAAAGCGTTCGATGGATCTTAACAATAAGGGCCTAGAAAATGTTTCAAAAGCGCATTTAAGATCAAAAAAAAAAAAAAAGACCAGCAACAATCGTATATTTACACTCCAAGCTATTTTTCCATTTCGCTAATACCAAATTCAACGCGGTTGACCTGCCCGATATTGAGATGAACTGGCTTTCGGCTAAAAATCTCTAAAATAAAGATTTAAAAAAGAACCTTCCCGATATCCCGATTGTTCTGGTATCAACAAACTATTACTAGTTACATTCTCCTATAGCTGGCCTTTAACAACAAGTTCTAGAATTTTATCTAATGCGTGCATCATGGGACAAAACTCTTCGGTTTTAATCGTTCAGCAAATTTTTGAATAGGAACCACTAAGGATGCCTTCCAAATTTGTGGCACATGTCCAGTTTGCAATGATTCATTAATGGTCCAGCAATAACTCTGGCATTAACATAGTCAACTAAAGCCGAATTTCCTAATGAAAAACAAATAACTCTAAGTTCATCTAATGTAATTGGGTGAAAACCTTCAAATCCACAACTACTATTAACTGGCTGTTTTATTTCGTCAGGTTCATCGACCAATTCAATGGATTGATTATTCAAAGAAACGCTGCCGACAAAATAATCATTAAATTTAGATGCAATTTCTTGTTCTGACTGTTCTAAGGTGCCATTAAAAGTTATGGGCCACGGTTTGTAATTACTACGTTTTAATAAAGATTTAGAAAACTTTCCATAACTCTTTGCTGTTGTTTAGATGCTGATTCATCTTCCTTTGAACATATTTACAATGAATTTTCTTTATCGATTGTGAAAACTTATTACGCGCGATTGTGTACCTAGTCCAATGATTGTCATTATTTGATATACAAAACTTTTTTTGTCCCTTTTCCGTTTAAGACGCAAAAGATCCAAATTGTACCAGCTGTTTGAGTTTTTCAAAGAAACAAACCTTTACTCAACTAGTTGAGTAGTACACGTTTTCAAAGCGTTATTAAGAACAGCTCTAGATTCATCAAAGTTACCGGCCGCGAATGAAAAATCCACGCTCCTCTCGAAAAAAAAACAGCTTGCTTCGAATATTTCCTCCAGCACTTCAATTTTACAGAATTATCGTTATCGTTAGCATGGTCTAAGACATTAATCACTAAGGTCTCATGATCGGTTATTTTCAAATCAGTATCCGTAACTGCACAAATGGAATCAAATTGGAATTAACGTGGTCAATTAAAATTGTACTGTGCCTGGAAATACGCGTATATTCATCTACCGTTTGTTTTAAATTGAAAATTTCAGCTAAACGCTTGAAAAGAATCGAATTATGGTTATCACGCCAATGAATATTAAAATCACCAGCCCATATATTTAATTTACTAGAATCAAGGAATGTCTCGAGCCAGTTCTCTAAAATTTCAACAAAACGCTGGTCACTAGAACTGGGAGAATGATACAAAGCACCATAATTACCCATCTTCATGCCACGTACAACTGTAATGCCCAAGAACCAGTTGCCATCAATAACTTCGTTGGTACGAAGGTTGAATTGAATTGATTCTTTGACATAAATAGCAACACCGCCAGTGTGTCTAGAATGTGATAAACAAGCAGCAACAATATATCCCGGAATACTATACTGATCAAAAGCTTCATTTTCTACAATATGAGTTTCAGCTAATAACACTAAAAATGGACACTTTTCCTCAACAATCTGACGTAATGCTACGTAGTTTTTCAACAACCCCGCTATATTAAAATACAAAAAATCGAATTGATTCACATTTCTGGAATAATCCAGAATAATAATAAAGTTCACGTTTTCTATCATCGAGAGTGTTCTCTGCTTTCACATCTGATTCTATGCGCTGACTTGCCACTGTATACCCGTGATTTGCAAGCTGCTAGTAATTGAAAAATATGAATTTTCAATAAATAAACGATACCGATAAATTACTGGTCCACATTCAAATAACTTTTTCGTGTTACTTACCTTCATAGCTGAGCTCAGTACTTTTCTCAATTAAATATTTGGTTTTGGCTGTCAATATTGGCTTATTTATAAATAAATCCCATCATATTTATCAATCGCATTCATCCAAGATCTCCGTAATTAAAGCATGCATTACCGAACAATTACTGTCCACTGATCGATCTAGCCGAACGGACAATCATGCACTAACGACCATCAACTGTCCAGCGTAGCCAAATCAAATCCGAAACGATTCACTAATGGATGCTTTAGCCTCTATGTGAATGCAGGATACATGACCCCTCCGATTAAGGTAGTATAGTAGCCACCCGATATCGCGAATGACTATTCATAAAACATCAAAGACTACCTACTACTGCAACATGCGAACGTACAATGCATTGAATTCACGCTAATTGAAATGGCGGATGGAAGGAACCGCGGATTGAAAAGTATAACAGCGAAGCAGGCAGGTGAAAGGATTTCCAATTAGTTCATGGACTCGACGAGAGGATGATGATGATGATGGTGATTACGTCGTTTGTGGTTTCTGCACCACCGACCGGCAGTTATTACATTCTTGACGTTTTTCTCACAGTCATATAATGGGAGCTACTACAACGCGAACCGATGCATGAGGGTGGTCGACTCTTTGCAAAGAGCTTTATTTGCCTCCGGGAGCTCAACTCGTTAGTATAGTCGGATGTGAGTTATGAGCGGATATGTGGTCACAACGGATTCACACATGTGTTGGTCGAACATATCGCCCATAAAGAAAAATGAAGAACAGACACGAGTAAGATTTAAGCAAATGTAAATACGAATGAAAATGAAATTAGCGCCAATATGCAACTATAAGGGGGATGAAAGTCTTAGTTTTTGATATCTAACTAACAAAGGTCAAAATGCGCAGCACTAAACGGATTTTAATCTCCCGGTTGTACATAGCAGGCACCCAGGCAGACCGGGTAGACCAATCCGCTTCACATGAAACGAAAAAAAAAAAACACTAAACGAAACATACCAGAAACAGCAGAATGGATTAAAATAACTAACGAAACATGTACGAGGAACCAGAATGCGAAAAGAGTTTGTAAGAATAGAAAGTTAAACAGAGCAAACATTACCCTGAGAACCATTTGCAGTCCGCGGAAATCTTTCTCCGGATAGCTTTCCCACGTAGCCTCTTCGAGTCCGGCGTCCGGATCGGATTGCATCAGGCTGAAGTCGACTTCCACCGGTTCCGTTTCGGAGTGGTCGTATCCACTTGCGTAATCGTTCTATCCGGGGTGGTTTTTGTTTTTGTTTTATTTTTTTGGTTCGATGGGTGGATGGGTTTGGGGTTGGCATTTTTTTTTGTTTTTCGTTCACGGTGGACGTAGTGTGCGGTGGGACCATTGGGAATTGGATGATAGAAGCACAAGCCAGATGTTGCGCAAATACAGCACCCAAAAACCCAGAAGCACAATAGTTGCGTCGTTGTTGTTGTTGTTGCCGTGGTCGTTTTGTTTGTTTGCAGTTTCCACGTGGATTATGTGTGCAGAAGGATTATTTGTAGACAATCACACATACACACACACACACACACATAGTGGAAAGGGTGATACAGTTTGTGTTTTATATTTCGTTTTGCGGGTGGTAATTTTGTGCGAAGTAGATTTTTTGGGATTTGCAGCGCATAACGAGGGTGATGTTTTTTCGTTGTTGCAGATTTGTTTTTGTGAAGAGAAAATAGAGAAAATATAAATAAAAACAATTGGATTGTTATATACAGGTTATTTTATTTGCTGATGTGACATCGGATGGTGGTGATTAGCCGGGGAGCTGTGCGATGAGAGCTACTCAAAATATAGCATTTAAAATTCCATTGAGAGGAGCAGCAGAAAATAAACATTATCATGCAAAATGCGTGGAGATTAATGAATTTGTTTTGTGTTGAAAATCTTATGTGAAATGAAAGATGTAAAGTGTTTGCTCGAATGACAGAGTTTATTTTCCTATTGTTCAGGTGGTAGGCAACGAAAAACCGCAGCAGGTTTAGCGTAGTTGATTTTTAATTTTATTTATTTTATTTTCAAATTGAATTGTTTACTGCATTCTAAACGTAATAAACGACGGTTTTTTTAGCACTGATGTGTGCTAAATGTCGATGAAAAGTTATAGAAAAGGATGTTTGGGTAAATACCAAGGTAACATTTAAATGTGGTTCCATTTTGTAACCTTTTGTACCGAATACATGGCATTTTTATTGTTAAATATTACGTCTAGTTTGCACCATAATAACTATGTGTGGTGATTCTGAAGGATACTTAAATATCATTATAAAATTTTCTTGCATTGGACCGCAAGCCAAAAAGTTGACCACGTTTCTTTGGGACTTTCTGGTCTTAAAGTTACCTCTACTGTGATACTCTAAAGAAGCATTAGCATGAAATTTCAAAAGCACAATTGTCAGCTCCCACAAAACATACAAATATGAAATTTCTACTCCATTTCTGCTACGCTACTACAAACATAATGTTCCACTGGAAGCTGATATTTGTGCTTTTGATGTTTCACGTTAACACTTTTTTAGAGTATCACCTTGAGGAGCATTTCATCGTTTTAATATTGCAAAATTCATTTTCTCGTTACAGGTGTCATGTTTGTTATCCAAAGGTTCATAGTTCTAATATTTTTTCCCCTACCTATATTTAGTTTACCCTGTAAACACAACTTTTCAAATTTGTTCAATAAGTGTCTTGCAGTACTGTGGTTGTGGGTGGTCGCTGGTAGTCATTGACTACTTAGCACTAAGTCCAATAAAAATATTTTACTCTTTACTGGCCATGGCATTAAGAGTATGAAAAACAAAGGCATATTTCCACTGGGATAATAAAAAAAAGCGTGAAATCAATGCATAAGTTTAGTAAAATAAAAGGTGTGGCAGACATTATACCACATCTTCTTCTTCTTCTTCTTCTTCTTTTTCTTCGCGTTTCAAGCTTATTGTGTATCGCATATTAGCTTATTGCGTGCTCTCAACTTAGTGTTCTAGATGCACTTCTACAGTTATGAATTGAGAGCTTTCGATGCTTGTACCATTTCTGCATGAGTATAGGGTAGAGCACTACTTCGTCGTAATCGCCCATTTCTGTTCTATCGATCAGAAAAGATCAATAATATCAATGATTTAACCATGCACAAATCAATAATAGGTTTGTTCCGATACGTTAGTTCATTAGCTACAACATAAATACTGTAGAGCGCATTGTATGAATATTTACGCTCATTGTTCTCAAATCAAAAGAAGCGCTCCAAGCGAATTCCCTTTTTCTACGTTTATCCGTAAGACGAAGAAAATCTAATGGCGTTTCAATGCGTTAGGACGGAATTGAAACTCGCAGAACGAATTTAAAAACAAGAAGCAATATTAGATTTTAAACAATATGTCAACAATTTGTGACTCTTTATCAAATCCAACGGTACGTATGGAAAGGTGAATAAATTAAGAAGTCATCTTTGACAGAAATATTCCATTTTTTGTTTAAACTTGGTCAGAAAAGAGAGGTAAAGCGCGGGTTGTGCTTAGTAGGACAGAAATTAGATCAAAAACTCTAATTGTGTGGCAAGTACAATCACATTCTATGCCCAGGGAAGTTGATAAATTTTCCAACCCGAAAAATTCCTAGACCGGGCTGGGAATTGAACCCAGCCACCTCCAGCATGGTCTTGATTTGTAGTTGCGCTTTTACCGACTGAGCTAAGGGAGGCCCCATTATACCACTTTCAATTATAGTTGATATCACGTAATATGATAACAAGAAACAGCGTTGTCAGATATAACGATTTATCGGTATTTGTCCTTTTCCTTTATTTAACGTCTCTGATCCGCAATCTAGTGCCAATCACCGACAGACATCGATTGCCATCCATTAACGGCAATCAAATGTGCAGGAAGGCAGCTTCTACACCTGCGTAGGATATCGCATCCATTCATCAAAACACATGGGCCGGGACCAACGGCTTTACTTCCCTTCCGAAGGAAGACGTGACCAGAGATTTTTATGCCTCAGAAAAATCCCACCGACCCACACCCCATCGGGGTGTTAGAAAGCAGTCACGCTAACCACTACACCACCGGCATGAAAACCCCACTGACTCGACTGGGGAACGAATATACCGATTTTTAAACTTGATACCGATATACAGGATAAGTTTCTCAGAATTCAGATTTTTGATATGTTATACTGATTTATACCGATATCTTAAAATAATCAAAATGTGTGTTGCCTATACACCCACGCTTAACTGCCAAGAGTAACTAACAAAACTAATATCTTCTGTCTTCTCACGTCAGTTTGTTTTTCAACTTCCCCGGAACTTGAGGGATGCTGCCCGAGTTTTATTTCAGTTTCTTTACCTTCAGGAAATCTACAGGAGCTTTTAAGAACTTCAGAAATGTCTACATTTTTGGGTAAGTTTAAAAAACTGTAAGGGTAAGTTTATATAAATTGAAACAGTGAACTTAACAAAACATCATAAATATTTTGGAAACTTCTTAAATCCAAAGAATTTCAGGGAAGTTTAATGGTTTTCAGGACAACTTCATTTGTTTTAGGCGAATTGAGAAAACATCAGTACAAATCAATAAATTTCAAGGATATTACTGAAACTTTAATGGTGTTCCGAGAAGCTCAGGGAATTTCCAAAAACTTTAGCAAAGTTCCGAGAGGTTCATGAAAGTTTTCGAAACGTAAGGTAAGTTACATGAGTTATTAGAAAATTGAGAAAAAAATTTAAGGAAGTTCCGTGCTTGAAATGGCAGTTTCAAGAACATTTAAAAATTAAAACAAAATAATCAGGAAGATCACAGTATTTGAATGCTGATGATCCATTGATTTCAAAGCAAACAAAATTTTGAGCACCTAAGAACTTAAGAAGTGTGCTGCTAGGGAAGTTCTGAAATTTTCAAGAAAGTCCCGAGCCCTTCAAAGAATATTTTATGTTTTGCCATAAGTTTCATTGAAGCTTGATTTGGATATCCAAACCGTTTCTGGCTTCCTCTGGATGTGTTATCAGATTTTTTTCCGAATGGTTGGTTAAATTTTCAACAGAAGTTTTTCAATATTTGTCCTCGAAGTTCCTCGGATGTGTTTACGACATTTCATAGAACTTTTTTTTCAAACTTCCTCCAGAAAAGCTTCTTTATTTTTTCTCTGGAAGATGTATCGTCCTCCTTCAGGAGCTAATACAAAGAATCACTGGAAATTTGCTTAGACATCTCCTGGATAGTAAATGTTCCGTTCTTCGCCGTCAAAATCGTTAATTAATATAGTAAATACCACTTTTCACGAAAACGTGTACCATGTTGAACTTGTGTATGAAAATCAAAGCGAATGTTCAGCTCGAACTTACGTGCAATGTTGTACACAATACACTCGGTTGTATCGATGAGCACAAGTGTATTCGCAGAAGTTTGTACACGAGTTTTTGCACGGAGCAAAATTATAAAGACCGGGGGGACTCGTACCAAGAAACTTGTGATCATCAGTCCTGAGTCTTGACCACTCGTCTATTCTACTGCGCGGGTAATGAAAAGTTTAAAGGCATATAAGAAGCGCTGGGTGTAAACTTGTTCATTGTAATTGAGCACAAATAGGCTTGTACATATTCGAACATAGCAAGCGGAGAACAAGTGAGTCCAAACCACTACACATGCTGTACCGTGAAGACTGGTAAATACCGATTTTTAAACATTTGCTACCGATCATCATTAAAACAATCTGACAACGCTGTCAAGAAAGCCTATGTTACGTAATATCAACTAAAGTCTAAAAGAAAAGGCAGATTATATCTACCATTCCTCTTTACATACCACATTGGCAACTGACAGGAAGCAAACTTTCAAAAATCTAAGAACTGTTAACCCAAATTTTGGTAATCGATTTACATTAACGGTATGAAAAAAGCACTCAAAATTAAGTTTAAAAACACTCAACGTGGGGTTCTATCAGATAAGTGGCGTTAGTTCAAATTTACTCATCTATTGAGTAACAATAGATGAACTCAGATTAAATTTCATTTTCGGTTGATCATATTTAAGCTGAAAACGTAATATTTTGCATTATCGATTGATATAGTACTTTCCGTATTTGTTTGAAAGCTACATTTTTGTAAATTGTGTTGCATAAAATTAAATATATTTCATTCAAATAAAACACACTGTGAATCAAAGTAGAAAATAATTCAATTTTTAGTTAAAAGTACTCAACCGTCACGTTTTCATCGTTGGGTACTT